CATGCTGACGTTCACTTCTCACTCGGTTCTCTTGTTCTCCTGTGGTGCCCAGTTCGTCGAGTTGGCTTATCAGAGAAGTTATTGTCTCGCTACATGGGTCCTTACCGTATCATTCGCAGGGTAACCGACGTCACCTATGAGATAATTCCTGCATCTGAGACTACAAGCCTGCCTGCAACCACACCCAGTGATGTTGTGCACGTCAGCAGGCTAAAACCTTACCACCTGCCTACTGAAGACCGTAGTTAATGTGCACCGAGACGGCGCTTTTACCGCCGGGGGGGTAATGCTACGTAGCTGACGTATCAGCGGTGAAAAGACGACAACGAGGAAGTGGTCTGTCGGTTGCGCTTGCTGCTTCCATCTTAGTCGACGCCATACGCATCATTTTGAATATAAATTTTAAATAGACACACCTCGTGTCATTTTTACGTAACAATATCATCGTGTGCCCTTTTATTTACTTATATATGTATCATCACCTAGCACGAAACTTCTATTTCAAGGTAGTACAAAAAATTAGAACTTGCCTAAATTTTGTTTACGAGTGTAACCAATACGGTAAAATATACTGCAGCATCCAGGAAATAACTTGTAACGTAGGTGGCTTAGTAGTCACCTAATTAAAAACGACAAGAAAGCTTCCCTGGTTAGTAACAGCAAAGGCTACAAGCATTGCTAGCTGCTGGCCAGTAAAGGTATGCCGCGAAGGTAGTAAAATAATCCGGAAAGTAGTAAACACACGCGTTTACTAACTGATTACTAACTTTTTCTGCTAAATAGTGAGCGGTCGACGTAATGTGAAGCTCACTCAGATTCACTGAGGAAATATTAGGTGCGGAGCTCTTTAGGGTCTCGTATGCTGTCGTCATTGCAAGAACACATATAAAAATAAAAAAATAGAGGAATCAAGCTAGAATAGACAGAGAGAGACATAGAAGAAAGATGGAAGAGAAACAGAGCAATAAAAGAATAAAGAAGGAGGAAGAAACAAATGGAAATAAGGACGGAGAAAACGGAAAGAAAAAAAAAGAGGAGGAAAGACAAGGAAAACAGAAGAGAAACAAAAAAGGCTGTCCGGCGGCGCACTTCATTTACACTTTGCCACACTACAGTGCGAAGCTGCCTCAATATTTTTCTTATGGATATAGGCTCACTCAGGCTCCGACTCGCCAAATTTTTACTCAACCGGGTTCACTTGAACTCAAGTTCACCAAAACATAATACACCCGGACTCTCTCAGACTACCACTCGCGGCTCCATCTGAGTTTGAGTGAGCCTTCGTCAGCCGACTTGTGACTGGGTTTGCTATATAGGCTGGGTATCCTATAGGCTTATAAGATATTCTAAAAGCGCGTGAGATTTCATTGTTATAGTCTTCAACCCGTACTCAAGAATGCTCCTCGACTCGAAACTCAAAGTGTGGCAGCTTGTGCTAGTTGGTATGACATGACGATATGTGCCCTTCATGTCCTTCTTGTCTCTGTGCCGTCGTTCTGTTCTGGCGCTTTAACTATCGAAACTCGACCTCCAGGGACCGTTGAGGACTGTTTAGCGTTGCGATTTCTGTGACGCGAAAACTCTTGATAATTCGTCGAGGTCGAGAGTCGAGTCGAGAAGCGTTTGTGAATACGGGCTAAAAACCCACTGGCGACGTCGTGCGCCCGTCTAGGATAAATCGACCACACGTACTGGACGGAGCGGCGACCGGCCATAGACGATCCCGAAAGGTTATCGACTTCCAACGATGTACGCTGCAGCTCAGTCAGACGAGTGCGCGGTACGTAGGGCCACGCGGAAACGAGACACGCCCCGTCGGGACGTGCTCCCCCACCCCCTGCCACTTCAAATAGCACGCAAATGCGGGGAGCCAGACGACGAGCGACAAGCAAGCGTTCATTGTAAGCTACCAAGATATTCAAATGAAGAGAGAAGGCGACGACCGAAACAGCGGCTGTAGCCTCAAGAGACTTCGTGCTGTTCCCAACGGAGACGCAAAACTACATGGACCGTCGCGACGCGGCACTGCGATCGACCGCAGAGGGCGCGACGAGTGCATTCGCTTTGCCGCCCGCCGTTGTGCGCGCCTATCAATGTGCGAAGCTAGCAAACTAAGAAAAGAGCACGTGAGCGATGAAAAAGTTGTTGCAAGTTCTCTTGACCAGACAGGCAGACGCACTGCACACTTTCTACTTGACAGGCGTTGCGAGTGCAATGCACCGACCACGCTCGAAACAGTGTAGTACAACAATGCAAAACAGCAAATTACGTGAACGACAAGGCGGAGTAAAGGCTATCGTAGCGAGCAGGACGACGCTTCGATCATCTGTAGCGCTAAGAAACGTGAGACGAAAGGACGCCGCTGTCACGCCGTCCGGACGAGACCAGGTGGTCACAAGTTTTAGAAGCGGTCGTCTAGCGAATGCATTTCTGCGCATGTAGACCCCTGAAGGGAGCAGCACTTCGCAGATGCAACTCTTCTGAGGCATGTGCACTCTTGAATGGGAATTAACGCTATGGGCCGCCTTTGTGCCATTTCTAAGTGGTGTGAAGTTGGTCAATGAAACTGAACAGCGTAAATCAGTTCTCATGCATATAACAAATAAGAAACACTGTTTTAATTATACGTATTCTCTCAACAACTGTCCATTGACTGAGGTTAACGAATATAAATATTTGGGCGTCACAATTACAAGCCGCCTAACATGGTCAAGCAACATAAATAAAACATGCTCATCTGCTTCTAGAAAGCTCGGTTTTTTTTAGACACAAATTAAAAACAGTGCCCTCAGTAATCAAAATGTTGGCCTACAATGCTTTTATAGGACCAAAGTTAGATTATGCTAGTGTCGTTTGGGACTCACATATAAAGAAAGATGTTAAGAAGTTTGAGATGGTGCAGCGAAAGGCGGTTCGCTTTATCTTTAATGCCTAACACAGAAATGAGTCGCCAACAACAATCATGGCCATTAATGATATCCCTACTTTACAATACCGAGGAGCTGTTGCCCGGCTGAAATTTCTACACTCACTTTATTTCCGTAAGTTTAACATTTGTCCAGAAACTTATACAAGAAATCGAATCTCAAGATAAACTCGACATACTCACAGTTACACTCTTGAACCTTACTTCGCACGTACTAATCTTTTCATGAACTCGTTCTTTCCTCGGACGATCAATGATTGGAACGCGTTACCTTTTGAAGCATTTTGTGATAATGAAAATCCTGACTTCGATAACTATGTATCTTTCCGTTTTTAACCGTTCAGCTCAAGATCTCAGACTGTCTGACGTTGTATCTGATTTGCATTCTCCGGTTGCAATTTGCAATGTCTTGCTGCCATTTAACTTTTTTTCAAATGTTATCCTGTGTTCTACTGCCTTAACATGTATATATTGCTTGAACTTTTTTTTTATTTAATTTGCATTGTGAATCACTTTTTATTATGCCCCCTGCTTGGTCTTTCGACCGCAGTATTCTGTAAATAAATGATAAATAAATAAATAAAAGGGCTAACTAAATTTCAGAAGTGATCCAGTTATGGGTCTTGTGGCCGTCACTTGATTGTAGGCAGCACGAGTGACGTAACTACCGTGTAACCGTTCATTGGTAAGCAAAAATCCTTGCCTAAGCTACTCCATGAAGATATTGTTAAGCAGAGAAGCTCAAACGCGCTGATCTGGTGTTCATCACTAGGTTAATGTCGATGGGTCATTATTGTCTTTTCAGTTATTGGTTACTTCTTTCCAAAAATATAATTTGTTGTTAGCCCTTATTCATGTTTAACAGCTAGAGGAGCTTGACTAATGTATGTAGCGGGAAAGTGATAGGAGTTTTTCCGCCAACAGGTTCGATGGATTTGGCTTTGGCCTAACTACACATGGCTTCGCTCCTGAAACAATCTGCGCCAAAGACTACACACAAACATTCCATTTCGGTTCAGGTGTTGAATGATCAACAAGATTGCGTCCGAACCCTGCTGTCATTCCCCTCGTATCATGAGCTTAAGAAAGAGAAGTTACGCCTTCCAAACCTACTGACTTTATTTATCAGACCCCTTCCCATGTCGTCTCCACAGGGGAATTATAGAGCAACCATAATTTACTCCCGTAAAGAGGTATGCGAACTAGAGATGGTTTAACTCCAATGACGCTCATTTCGGCTATAATCGCTGGCTTCGGTTTCGCTCGTGTCTTACATTCTCTGCGACAACGCGACAAGGACGGCAATCCACTGGAACACGACGGTCAATATGCGAGACATATTATATACAGATTAGACCAATGCATCTTCAATCGGACAGTCGTGATCGACGTTAGCGATGCCCGAAATCAGGTCGCGCGGAATTCGAAGGCCGGGCCTGTTCTACACTCGCTTATAGGTCTACGTATATAAACGGCTAGAGAGATATGAAACAGGCAAATCAAACAGCCCCCATCGGTCGTCTAAGCGCCGTAGAAACTTCTATATGCACGCGCAAAACAACACGTCCGCGATGGGGCCCAAGGGAGCAGCTAGGGGGGGGGGGGGGGATTAGCAAACAAAAAAGAACCCAAAACGAAAACGAGCGGCTACTTGTCCATACCGAACGCGCCCGGCGGAGCGCGTAGGTCGCCGGAGATGCGTCGGACTTTGAGAAAGGGCGAGCGAAGAAGAAGAAAAGAACCTCGACCTCCGAAGGTGAAAGTCGGAAGGAAGACGGACGGCGCCGGTGGCCGAGTGAGGGGACGATGCAAGAACGGCGGAGAAAGTGAACAAGAAGAGGAAGAGAGCGTAGCGTCAGCACCGGAGCAACAAGATGACAGCGAAAGAGAGTAACGTGAGAGGAAAGAGGCGGCAAGCCCGAGCGACGACGATGACAAAGGGAAGAAGAAGATGCACGCATCCTCGCGCTCTTGTGCTTCGTCTTCGCAGACTCGTCCACCTCCTCTCCCGATCGGAGAGCACGCGACGCAGTCACGATGGCGCGGCCGTATAAAAGGAGTCCGCCGACGCCGCTGTCGCTCAAAAGCGAGTGACCAGTGAAAGTCCTCACCTGTCGAATCCCTCCTTCTACCTGTTTTTTACATTACCCCTTCGCCTTTAAAGCCCCCCCCCGTGCCATATCGCACGTCGTGAGTTCCGTCACTGCTCTTCGGCCGGAACAAGTACTGTGGTGGTGTGTCGCATCTGCTTACAAGAACATCCCACTCGGACGTTTTATTGGTGTGGACTGCTCCACCTGAAGACGTCGGTGAAACAACGAAAAAGGTGCGAACCCGGCCTATGGTTTTCTTGTGGTTTACAGGTCTCATGGGGAGGTTGTATTTTTTTGTCATCGGGGGCCATAGTGATCATCCGGACGCGTCTTAGCGCAGTGGTTCGAGACCTTATCAATGGGCGCCTCTCATCAGTGGTCAAGTGTCCGTGAGTAAGACCGGCGCCCATACAATAAGTGTACTTTTGTTATAGACAGTACTAACGAGCCCCAAACTGCCTGTTTCAATCAAAGAAAAATAATATTTGCATTACTATTTGAATCGTCATTAGGCTTGGATTAAGGACAATCAGGTCTGCGACAAGTGCACTGCGTCTTAATGGCAGCATGTTGAACTGCAACGACATAGCAGATGAGTCTGGCTGAGTGGAGATTAAAAGATTTATTCTTTCCCGTCATATGCATTGAGCGGGACTAACGAAACAAGTGGCATTTTTTAAATAACTACATCGTCTACCTAAGCTTGTTTAGACTTTAATGTTGTTTGTTTTGCTAGCCAAGGCGCTTTATATTCCGCAGTGGATAGCAAAGTCTATCATGGACTTAACAATAACGAGGTAAATTCATGAAACGTCTGTGGTCTCACATTTTTCTGATCACACTTACGTGTAACTCTAATAATTGTGAATCAATCTTTCATTCTTGTGATTAGCACACCATGCAGCGAATTTTATGTGAGTAGGTGCGGAAACACGGCGAATGTTTGGAATGTCTTGAATTCATGAGGTGGACGCTAAAAGTAAGCATAAGAAGTGTCCGCGTGCAAGTGCCGAAACGTGTACCATTGGACATCGCGAGAGCTAATTGGGGGATTAACTGATCATCTTTGACAAAGCAGTGTCTAGATCGTAATTAATTTTGCTGATTCTGCCACCTCCATGAACAGGACATCGCATGCTATGTCTTCTGTTGTGCCAATGAAATCGAAAGTAGTGTTACTACGGGGCCACATATATTTTTTTTTACAATCTGATGTATTGATTCATTTTGTACTGAGTGAAGTGCTCTTTCGGCATAGCGTTTACGTAAATGAATGAGTGACTTTAAGACAACGTATTTCAATAAGCTTGACGCGCTATCGGAGCAATGAATTGTTCAACCGGATAGCAAATTTATTGAAATTCTAAGCAAAACGAATGCACACGGAACAATCATTTGCGCGAGCCAACTGATGAGCTAGAGTTCTCCTAGCAAGCTGCGAATTACAAGCGGCCAGAGAGCGTAACTGCACCTCATCCGGAATGGCAAACTTAGGACACCACCTTTCGTGGTGTGAAAAGGTCAGAGAAAGTTGCACCTCTGGAAAAGACCTGATATTTCTGCAGTGTCTACGCTCTGCATGCACGTGTCTCTGAAAATAGCAAATTGGTTTCTCTTTTTTACTGGCGATAGTCTACATTATTCGACATCTTTCTCTTATACCATACTACACAATTTTTGGCACCGAGTCTACTGCGTGGTTCGCGTGCAGAAAATGTAAAGACTTAATGGTTCGTGCTTGATACAACACGGATGTTTTCTTTTTGTACGCATAAAATTTACTGCTCCAGTGCTTCGAATCACCACGCTATTTATGATAACGACTGTTACGAGGGACTATTGTTAACTATAACATTTACGAAGAGAGGGCGTTGGACAAGAAGTTCTTGTGTTGACTTGATGCGCTACTTTTCTCGTGAAACCCGCATCTGTTGCGATGGGCAGCCGGTGGAGTCGTCAAACCGGAGACTCGCAACATAGGTTACCAATATATGTGTTCTTGATATCTGCTGTTCCCTGTTTCGCGCAACGCTTCAAGACGTTGAATTTCATAAAGGCGAACTATCTCTGTCCCATCTATGGACAACGTTGTCGCGACTGTCAAGGCTAAAGTGACGAATATGAGCAGTTGACGTTTCACGAACCAGCCATGGTTCACTTTATTCTATTCGCTCTATTTGTGCGAATATTTACCCTGACCACTCAAGAAGTTTATAATGATGGATTCATTTTGCTCAATTAACCTTAAGCCCTTCTCCTAAGACTTCTGCTCTCAAACCGCCCTAAATAACAAAGAAGAATAGCGATAAATAACAATAATGCTTGTTTTACACCAGTATATGGATCAAGAAAAGCTCCAGGTAAAAGCCGCTGCTCTTCATACAGGTAACTTTGCCAAGGTTCGCGACCCTTTGCGTAGAACAGTCAGCAACGGCAATTTCAATAGCAAACAACATTGCCTAACAGAGGACACATTACTCTGATACAATGACAGAATGATTATAACGTAATTGCCAAATTAAATTCAGAATTTGACGTGTACTTGAAATTTTTGTGGCGCACACTATAAATGATTTATACCGGCTTTCATATATTTACTAAGTATTGAGGACTATGCGTGATAATGACAATCGATTTAGTAGTTTGGGGGGATTTTTGCTGCCTTGTCCAGTTTCTGTGTCACTGGATGTTCTGTACAAAACATGGTGATCACAGAGAATACAATCAGCCTTCAAGAGAGCAGCAGTGTCATCATTCGCTTAGATATTAGAGTTTATTGGGGATTTTGCAGTAGTGTTAACGAGAGGCAGTGTTTAATATCGTTGGCTTAGCGATGCGTGCATACCAGGTATAGAAATTTCATGTTTTGTCCTCTACAAATCAGTCTTACCATTATCAAAGTCCGCTATTTTACGACTACATGGTGGCTTACTCCGCAAACAATAGCACAGAATTGAAGCTGGCGCACAAGTCCACACTTCGCAGCTAGTTTTTTTCCTCCTTTCTGATTTCTTTTCGATAACACTTGGGGCAAGGTGTACGAGCTGCAATTTTGGCGAATGTCGTAGTGGTTGCAAACGGGACTTATTCACGCTGTTTCCTCGCAATAGCCTGCAGCTGTCGTCTTTACGCAAGTTCAGAAGTAATATATAGTGAACGGCATAGCAGTGTTTGTCTCGCGCGTGTTCTGTAATTAGCATTCTGCGCACATTGACTGCAGACAAACCACGTAAAGTTTATGAAATGTTGTCATGTGGTGTAACCCTGCTGCTTTCACGAAGAGCTGAGGGGGCGTCTCAACACAGACGCGGCAAGAAAGTGCGTCTCCTCGTGCATGGTCACTTCAGGTAAATGATAGAACCAGCTGAGCACTATACGTGGCAATACATTACCGATTTCTGCACTTTATTCGCAAGCAGAAAGAAGAAAGGGGGGGAGACAGGAGAGATGATCGACAGGATAGTATTTTTCGCTCTATCCTGTCTCTCTTGTTTCTACCCTGCGTGCGTGCAAGTCTAGATTCTAGTATTAACCAGTAAATCTGCGAACAAGTGCTGCTACAGCATTACAGACTTTTTGTGATTGATGATGACGACAGCAAAAGCCTGGAAAAAACCAGACCCTCCTGAAAATATTCTTGGTCCTCCAGCCCGAAAATTGCTCAAAAGCTTTGCGAACATTAGTTATGTAGGGTACAAAACCGAATGAAGTGAAAAAAAAAACATTTATAGGAAAGAAGAAAGAAGGGTTAGAAGCTGGTGGGTAGGGCCCCTAGTACAGGGCTTCACTGGCCTCAACAGCCCACCGCCCCTGGTCCAGGAGCGCCACTTCGGCCTCCCTTTTCTCGCTGTCGAGTAAGGTCTCCCGGTGCTCCGTCCTGAATTTTTGCGCCGGAAACTGAGGCAAGTTAATTTCGGGTGGGCTTATTTCGCCTTCCCAGGTAATGTGAGCCAACGTTGGCTGTCACCCACATCATGGGCAAGAACAGACGTATGGGGTGGGGCGGATGGCATTAAATAACACGTTTGATCCCTCCATCATAGGAATCGGTATAACATTAAAATGAAGCCTGTCCTTACACAAGTAGTTGAGCGCTTACTGCACATTGATACAAGAAAGCTTGTAATATGTTTCTTGGTGTTTGGCAGCTATAGCACCGCTTGACATCAATGCACCCACACTGACGCTTTGATACATCTCCGTTCGGATGAGTAAAGCAATGATTAAAACAAACCCTTGTAAGATACTTGTGGTATAGGTGTAGTGAAGGGTGAGAGCAGAATCAGATATAGTGGTGTGTATAGTGAAGTATGGAACAGTGGTGTGACAGCTCAGAAAGTCGTCGCTCAATGGACGCTGAACTTGTGCCAAGGTCGCCTGCTTGCAGCATTTTGAAGTTCTGAATACCACTTCCCGGCTATATAAGATGCAACGCGCGTCGTGTCTACTCTGATGGCCTGCTGCGATTTTTCGCGGGACGAGCGTAAATGGCGAACGCGGAATTACAGCCTCGTTGGCTGCAGCCAGGTGACGCAGAGGTATTTTTTGTATAAATGGACGCTATCAGTGAGGCCGACGCTAGGGGTAGTGTCGGAACCTAGCGTTAGGTTAATGCATCGACAAAATTGTACTACTGTCGGAAGGGCGCCGAATAGGACGGGGACGTATAAACCTAGACGGAAATAATCGTGGATGTCATGGTCATGACGCCTAAGTTCGCTTCACCACGAGTACTCTGAGAGCGCATTGTTAGGATGGGAAAGGCCTGTTTGTAATGCTCCCTGAGCATGTGACCGTCAGTGGGCATAGCATAAAGGGCCCTTATTTCCCTGGACCGAAAGGTTATGGGTTCAACGTCTATTCTTTGCTTTCTTTGCTTTCTGATCGTGCGTATTTTTACGTCATTTCCGTGACGTAAAATACGTCACCGATGTCTTAGTGGATCCCAACACAAAACACTTTCGTATTAAAAATACAATGAAGGGCCCGTGCTATGTGTATAAGCTTCAGAGGACAGCAGACAGAGGCGCTTGAAAGTTCTTCGGTGTATACGAGACTCTGTAGAAGCGCGGCCACTTGATAAAAAAACAAGGTTGTTTTTTATCCAGTGGCCGTGGTAGAAGCTGGCCTACCATTTCAGGAGCTGTATTCGGTTGAAAGCGAAGAAAAAATTGTAGGCTCCACCCACTAAACCACGGTGTGCCTGTCTTTCACCTGCGAAATACAGTTGTGC